TTCAAGGATTCTAGATTCAAATCCCATGTGAGCTCTTGACTCACTTTTCAACCCCTGGCAAGACCTTCTTGCACCTCCATAATCCCAGCTGGAAAATTAGGTAAAATAAAAACATGACCTCATTAAGAAACAGATGCTTCATCTGAGCAGTGCTTTCCCAAGTAAACACATTACAGAGCTTCTTGTGACATTTTTTTAGAATGTGGTACTGTGTCCCCTTGACCATTGGTCAGCTTGGAATCAGGAGACAAGAGCTTGAAACTGTGTTTAATTTGAAGACCAAAGTTTAGAAAAACAACCAGTTTCCTAACCCATTCCTGAGGTTAATGTTAAGTCAGCCCTAGTTGTACAGTAATACCTGAGTTGAATAAGAATCTGAATCCAGAGTTTTCTTTAAAGTAGTGCATCTTCACCTAGCTTTATGTTACCACAGACTTTCCAACACCAAATTCACTTGTGAAGCTAAGGAATCAAGATGATCTTTAAATCTTTAAATCAAAGATGAAATGTATAGCCAGGCTCGGTGGCTCAGCCTGTAATCCTGCGCCTTTGGGAGGCTGACGTGAGTGGATTGCCTGAGACCACGGGTTCGAGACCCACCTGGGCAGGTGAGACCTCATCTCTACAATAAATCAAAAAATCAGCTGGGCATGGTAGCGCATGCCTGTAATTCCGGCTACTTGGAAGGCTGAGGTGGAAGGACCGCCGGAGCCCAGCAGGTTGAGGCTGCGGTGGCCGGGAGCGGCCACTGCACTCCAGTCTGGGCAACGGAGTGAGACTCCAACTCAAAAAAAAAAAAAACAAAAAGATGAAATGTATTTATAAAATACATTAAATAAAATAACATTCATTTGCAGATTCCAAAAGATGCTTATCATACCAGCAAAATGATCATGTGACTAATTATTTGCTACTTGTTAGCTAACAACACAGCCCAAACTCTTGACTCTATAGACATTACTTTGGCATAATTTATCATAGGATTTACTTTCTTAATATAACTTAAACTTCTTCCTAATGTTACTTTGTAGAGTGAGCACTCATTAACAGGGCAGTTGTATTTATGACATGATTTAATATCTGTTAAGAATAGATCAATGTTTTCTACAAAAATTCAACTTACACCTTGACTTTAATAATGATTTTAAACAGCAAAATACAGTTATAAGGTGTGCATCACTTGGGAGAATGCTTGTGGATTAGACAGCTATATTACTCTCTAAATTTCACTCTAGTTTCAAAATGTAATATAGTATATAAATACAGATGCCATTAGAAAGTGCACCCACTGCACAAGTGTGTTTGGTCCTTAAATGCCTCAGGATTTTAGGTGAGAAGCTTCCAATTACATCGTCAAGAATTAACGATTAGTTAAAAAAGATAACATTGTAAACAAGATTGCTCGAGCACACTGCTTTTCCATTTTTTGCACGTCTACTGATTACAATTGTTTCCAGACACAAATACTAATTCTTTCCTAAAGCAAGACTTCAGGACCGCTTTAAATCCTGACAGTGAATTGTTACCCCAAACCCCCCTCTACCTTTTTTGAGGGAGCTTGGTTAAGTTTCCTTAGATTGCTTCTTTCACTCTTTAGAATTGCTTTGAATCCACCCACCCATTTCTTCCAACACTCTGACTCTCCAGAAGGAAATATTTCTCCTTCTTTCCCAGGGTAAGGATTGCTTTTCCCTGTGGGTTTCTCGATTCTATCCCCCACCTCTTCGAAGGCCTCACCCTCTAACTGTTGCTCTATATGATGTAAAAAGTCATCATAAACTACAATTTGATGTAAACAACAAATTACTTTAAGCACTGTAAACACTTCCTCCAATATTTCTTTACATTTTTTACATACTTTTTTCTTCTCTGGGGCACAGATGTCTAAATCCGTCTGCTGCTGATGCTGGTGAGGGCTGCCTGTGGAAGAAAATCTTAATCTCCAAACCACACCATTCATTTTAAACATCTCTGTGGGTGATTTAGGAACAAACACTCTGAAAAGGCAGATGTCTGAAAAGCTAACGGCTGTCTTAGGCGATCAGAATAAATTCCAATTCCCCTTCACAGCCCCTACTTGAAATGCACGGTTGTCAGCTGTGACATTAAGTTTTAAATTTCCTGGATTCTGGATTTTCTCTATGAGTAAGCTTTTAGTATCACGGTGTGCTGTCTCTAATGTGGGCACCCCTTGAAAATTGCTTCTGCTTTTGTGTGTACCTTACCACTTCAGGGCTCAACAATGTTGGCAAATTTCAAACTGACCCTAGCTGTCAGCATAATTGATTGGGGGCTCACATTAGAAAATATCACTCCTTTTGCTGTTCACAGCCTTTAGTATGTTTGTCACGTCTTTCCTGAAGAGCATCCAAACATCCTTCACATTGATCTTCCCTTTCATATCCTGTCCAGCTCCTGAAGGGAAGTCACATGGGTCGCTTACTGTGCCCTGGTTCCAGCTTTTCTGGAACGAGCTGCCTGTTTCTGTGGTGCTTAACTCTTCTTCATGTTACCCATGCCTCCATCTGCCTTTGACAGAGCATGCCTCTCCCAGACGACTGACAGGTTTTCTTCATGGAGGGCAGAAAGTTCATTTGTTCTCAAAATTCCATCTTTTTCAATGGCCCTCAAGCAGTCTGTTTCTGCCTGACTTCTGGAGATCCTACAAAATTCAAATCTTTTAGCTGTTGCTGAGTTGGAATGAAGATTTGTTCATGCTCAGAATGGCAGCTTTTCCTGGTAGAATTTCCTGAATGTATCTTCAGTGGTAATTAAGTTACATTGACACATTAGCAAATTTAGGGAGCACAAAATTTGCAATATTATGCCAAATAGTATGCCAAAAGATTCATACAATTATGCCACAATATTTAAAAATTAGATAAAACTACCTTACATAAGTTAAATCTGTAAAGTTACATGCCTTGCCTCTGTGTATGAAAAAAAAATGTGGTACTCTCTTGGGCCTCTCAAAGTGAATTTGGTGTTTGACATGTGGCCTATTTTTAAAACCAGAATTCTAAAATCTATCCTCCAAATGAAGTAAAAATCCCTCAATGCAATAATAAAAATGCATATGAAAGGTGCTATTTATTTATATAGATTTGGAGGAAAAGACTACTACTCCGTTAAATAAATAAGAACATCTTATGCAAAAGGCACAAAAGTCACATTTTTAAGATATAAAACTTGAATTTGAGTAAATATTCCATTGTAGAGGTCACTTGAGGCACTCTTCTTCTCTCTCTTTCATGTCAGAGGAAAAAACTCAAGTGTGAAATTTCTACACACAAAATCCCACAGTGTTAACCAATAAATCTTCTACAGTACCTGGAGAAAGTTCAGGAAGTACAGAGTGCATTATCAACAAGTGTTTGATGTACTAAGTAACTTTAAGTAGGTTTTAATAGGACATGAATGAAAGGTTCTGATCTTTTTGTGAGCTGTGAGTTCCCTGAAATATTCCACATACCACTCAAAAGTTGGATGAGCCGCTGCTGGTCTCCTTTGCATGTTTTGGGGGCATACTTTATAGACTATAATGCACATTTATGCTGTTGACCAAACTAAACGTTAAGTGGTGGTAAATATTTGAAAAAAATAGCATAAAAATTTGGAGACTTGGAAGGTCACCAAGCGCTAGCCACTTAATTTCAGCCACAATAGCAGTCAGTTGCTCAGCAGACAATTTTGTTACAAGGTGTTGGTGATTTAACAAGTTGGCCAAAAGTAGTTGGAATCTAGCATGAAAGAATTCATGTCTGTTGGGTTTTATTGGTGCACACTAGACTCTTGATAGAATGGCCAAACTTTCTGTACTTGCATTTAGGAACCCAAGGAGAAAGCAGTCATCAATTTGCTATGGTACTTTCTGTGTCCTTTTTAGTAGTTTGTATATAATTCCAGAAAGCTTTGCTAAAAACACTGTTAACATGATTCGCTGTTTACTTTTTTAGAGTTTCCTACTGCTCAAAATACTGTCCCGGATTTTTAAAATAGTATTTTGGATTTATTGAAAAATGTAATTTTATCCTTAAGCCATGTGAAAATTGATCTTATGTAATAAAAAGCAATTTACTCGGATTATAAGAATGTGGTTATGCGCTCCGTGAAATAAAAGCTAGCTTGATAGAATGAAAGTGGCATTGGCAGGGATTGCAGAGAACATGACTGGTAGACTTAAACACAAATATCACCTGGCTGCATGGTTTTAAGCAATCACTTACCTTTTCAGTATTTATTTTCTCTTTAAGCTCTAACTCTCCATGATGGGTATCTTGACATTTAAGCACTTCTTAAATGTAAATGGGTATATTTTCAAAATAAGCCATATGTTTGCAAGACTAGCAAATATTCACAACTCACTAAGTAACTGACAGGAATGAACAAGTGAAGCAAGCTTATGGTTGCATGGAACCAGAAAGTTTTTTGTCTCACTTCTCTTTCTCTCTTCCCCTAGTCCTCTCTTATATAGCTACCTGTTTAGTTGACTTCGAAAATAAAAGTCAGTGACATTCAAAAACTATCTGTTAAGTGTTTGCAACTCATAGAGCATCAAGTTAAATACAGAGGTTTCAAAAGTGTAGGGGGGAGATGTACTTTGATCTCATGGGACTTGAACCAAACAGGCAGAAAATTAGACAATCAAAATAATATGTGGTGATGCCTATGACATAATCCCACAGTTGTCTTGCAAGCTCTAGATTCTAAATATGGCTTTGTTTCTACATGTCACTGAGCATATGTGATCCAGATGAATTATGGGAATATCCACTCCTTAGTTTAATTTTTCAATTTTCATCTAAATGTTCACCAAAAGTAACTGTTACACTAACTACATGCAGCTTTTATTTCCCTGGGGGTCCAGTCTGTGGGTGAGAAGGCAGTTAAAATGAACTCATCTACTATTGGGGAGAATATCAAGTGCTAGCGTAACTGTCATGGAAAGATAGAAATGCACAATCACCCATTGTTTGTACTTCCTCTGTTTTCTTCTTTAGGACATCTATTAGGCCTCTCTCATGACGATTCCAAATTTTGTGAAGAGAACTTTGGTTCCACAGAAGATAAGCGATTAATGTCTTCCATCTTAACCAGCATTGATGCATCCAAGCCCTGGTCCAAATGTACTTCAGCCACCATCACAGAATTCCTGGATGATGGGCACGGTATGTATCATTTAGGACAACACAGACTCAGAAACAAAATGGGATTCTTAGGAGTTTTACTTCATTATATCCTTATAACATTCATCTTGCCCTCTAAGACAATGATTATTTGGATAACATCAGAAAAAGAAAAAGTAAATTGATTGCTGGTATGTAATGCCGACGTCCTTGGTGGCATTCTAGCTATGGTATTTTTGCTTTTGAATTGGAAAAGTTCAAAGGAGAAGCAGTGTGGGAGACCACACAGAACGCCTAGTTAGTGCCCTGAAAGCTGGGCTTTTATTCCTTCTTTCACCACTAGCTTCCTGTGAGAACTTTGGCAGACATCTTGGTTTCTCTGCTATTAATATGACTCTCAGAATTATTTGTTACATGCCTATTATAGGGGTGTGGTTGAGGTCTAGGTGACAATTCTGCCGGATTCTCTTTATGGCAACATAAAGCCAGGAAAGGAAGCTCTCTAGATTGGCATTGACTAGAAGAATTTGGTTTCATTCTGACAGCAGTTTCTCCTGGAAGTAGAGTAAAAACTGCAGAACAGAACTAGAAAATCATTCTGAATGATGGGAAAACACTTTCAGAACTTCAAAAGAAAATCTTTGGCTTTATCCTTTAGAGAACACAGCATACTTTATTAAATTCTGTGAGGCTGGGATTAGTGCTGTAAATTCTATAAAAATACTGAGGAAGTCACAATTTTTAGAAATAATAAATCCTGACCCCCAAGTAATCTTTGAAACAAGCTGTTGCAAATTTCTTAGCATTCTTTAGTACTTTAAAATAATAGAAACACAGGAGGATAGATGCATTAGGATTGAAAGAGATCTTCAGAGATTATGTAGTTCAAGTTTCTCATCTTACAGAAATGGACATATTCTCAGTTATTTTCTGTTCTCTTAAAATAGATCTTCTCCTAAAACTGGTAATTAAATTGAATATGACAGAAATCCTTGATCATAATAATTTTCTGTAAAATTATCTCATGATGTATGGTTCAGAGTTGAATAAAGAGGATCTGAGATAACTGTCTTTTTCCCAGTTCCACAAAGTTTATGACTCAATATTTTTATAATTTCTGAATGTGTTAATCATCTTGAACTTTGAATATATATGTCATAACAGTTGATAAATTTTATACATTTTAGACAAAAAGAGATTCATCTGCACAGTTGTCTGATACCATGTATCTCAAATCTGTTCATTAACTCATTTTTGCTGCATTACTGGTGAACTGGTAAGACTTTAACTGCTTATGATTATATATTTAAATCTCCCATTCCTAAGAGCAATCTGACTCTAGCTTGGTTTAAAATTTCTTTTAATACAAAATAAATATTTTTTGTTATTTGAAAGGACATCCCAATATCTTAAAGACTTAGACACACTAACAAGAATTGATGTATTAAATCTTTCTTTTAGACTAATAATAAAATTACCAAATGGCAATTTTATTATTAGCTCAGTTTACAGTGTGGATTAGACACAGATAAAGACCTAAAATGAGTATTATTTTATTATCTTCTTATCTACATTGATAAGGTCAATATCTCATAAAGTCCTTCAGGTGGAATCCTAAGTCTCCACTTTGAATATTGGTTTTGCTATTTCTTTTTTTTTTTCAGGTTTTCTGAAAATAAAATAGCATTAATATTTTATTTCAAAATCACACGTTACACATTCCAAAAGGTTGAGCTAAACCTTGAATCACTAAATGAATGGATTTAGTTGCTAAGGCAGCAAATACTTATGGCTAAAATGGGACCAATTTTTTTTTCCTTGTGAAAGTATTAGGTCAGCTAATTACAATGCTGTGCAGAATTTTGTTCCTTATTGCCATAATTTTGGAATGATTCATTTATTTCATGTTTATGGAATTTGTGATATTAATTTCTGTGCAGTAAATATGCTTGCAGCATTGTCTTCATTTTTAAACATTATTTCTATATTTAAAGAAATCCATGTTCTGATTTAAGAAAAAAAAAAACTTTTACAAGTTTATGTACTTTTTACATCTGTCTGTTTCTGTTCCAAAGAACTTATGATTGAGAACAAGTCAGAACATGCTTTTAGTAAAAATAGATCTTATTCATTTTCATTGATAAACTAACAAAAAAAGAATTTCTCATATATGCATTAAATATATAAATTCAATTATCAAAATTCTTAGGGCAGAAAATGTTTATAGTTATTTTATCAAATTTAGACTGTCTCAGTTTTGAATATGTTGCTTTGGTTAGTAAGTCTTTTGTTTCAACCAAAAATAAATCTATTTTTACCAGTAGCCTATAATGGATAAAGTGATTTCAGAAAAATAAAAAGCAAAGAAAGATACTATAACCCAATGGTACAGCTCAATTATGTCTTATTTCATTTCAAAATTGTCATACACAGGTACAGGATTCAAACAGGAATGCTCTCTGCAGCACTATTATTTAAATATGAATCCAAATAACTTAATAACTCTTTTAAATCATGGCAAAGAAAAAAAAAACTGACATGTCAATTTAAGTGAATGTGTGGCCGTAGAAACTAGGAGATGATTGAAATGATCGAGGTGCTAATATTTCAACTACAGAGCTTAGGAGAGAACTAAGAAGAATGTCAAAACCCAAGATGATAGAAGAACAAACAAACAAATAAATGCATCTTTGTAAGAAGACTAAACTGTGACAATGAAACTACATTATAAACCCTTTTTACTTTACTCATAGGGAGCTACTCCATCTTCTACTCAGATTCTGCTTTTCATATTTTACAGTTCTACTATTTTTATGTTCTAATGTTTTTTCTTTCTTTTTCTTTCTTTCTTTTTTTTTTTTTGAATTGGAGTCTCACTTGGTCGCCCAGACTGGAGTGAGTGGCATGCTCACAGTCACCCCAATGTCAACCTGGGTTCTGGCAATCCTTCCTCCTCAGCCTTCCAAGTAGTTAGAACTACAACCACGCTACCATGCCTGGCTAACTTTTGATTTATTGTAGAGATGAGGTCCCACCAAGTTCCCCGGGCTGGTCTCGAACCCATGGGCTCAGGCAATTCTCTCACTTCAGCCTCCCAAAGTGCTGGGATTACAGGCTGAGCCACCACGCCCAGACTGTGTTCCAATTTTTTAAGCCACTAATACTTTAAGCAATAAAATAGGCCTGAGAGGCAGGAGTTAATGTGGGGAGACTTCAGACAGGTAAACTGAAAACAAGAACTGATATCATTTGGCAATAAGGGAAAAAGCAGAAAGTGATAAATTGTAGCCCTAAATCATGAAAGTCACAGTGGTATGGTACCATTTTCTAAAAGCTCAAAAGCTCTAGTTACACCAACATGATCCCTAAAACTGCCTCTATATTTCAGCATGATACAATAATTCATTCACACACATAAATAATTTTCAGTTATTTAGGAGAGTTAAATGTGAATCATATGAAAGCAGCAAAACAATTGCTGTTTTACTTAGGTACTCTCATAGAACATATACAATCTTTCAATGGTACCTAAAGAGTCCATTATAAATGGAAAATCCATTTTTGTGTAATATCTTATTTCTCCCCCTCTCACCTCCAGCAATACTGGAGAAATTAGGTCGTAGAGTAAAATTAAATTCAAAGCATTTGATTTATTTTTAAAATTATTAGCCATAAGTAGCTGGACATTTGTAGCACTCGGCCACTGCCAAATTTAAATTCATTAGTACTGAGTGTTTCCTGATTTAGTTCCAACAAGAAATATGCAGCAATTAGGTTATGGTTGAAAAGCCAGTGTGCTCACTCTAAAGTAACCGTGTCTGCAGATTTGTGATTCAAAAAAGGAGAAGCCATGTCTCGTGGGACACCCCCCCAACCTTGGCCAAGATACTTGTAGACATTCTGCAGTGTTTATACAAGTTAGCTTAGGCAATCTGGCTAGGAGTATGCCTTGAAAATAAAGGTAAGCACTGGCAGAGAAATTGTGCAGTGAAAGCAGTTTATTGAATTTCCTTTCTCAAATGCGTAATAACCTTGAAGCCAAAAAAGATAGCTGTGTCTGCTGTATCCCTCAGTCCACAGTGCCAGATTATGAGACAGGCCACCACCTAAGAAGATGCAGCTCAAAAATACTCACAACACAGGCTGCTCAGGAAAATCTATAGATGGTTTTGAAAAATTAACATGTAGCATATTTACAGAGTGAGGTTTATAGCCACTTACTGGACACAGAACTTTGGACATAAAGTTATATCGGAAAACCAGTTCTTTGAATCCTTTGCTAAGTGTAGGCTGTGAAGCTACTGATAAGAGCATAACATTCATTTTTAAGGTGGTGTTAATAAAATACAAAACCTCTTATGGTTCTTTCTTGATTTTCACTGTAAAAATATTCTTTAAAAGAATGTGCAAATAATGAATATATTTTAAGACCATAATAACATATATTTTTAAAAAGCTTTGCTTCATCCTTCATTGCAGAGAATCTTACCTAATTTCCTTGCCATAGCATCTGCTAAACAGTGTACCTCATGCCTCCAGCAGCTTCACAGGCAAACCCCTTTTTTTGCCTTTGTTGCCTGCTTTTCATCAATAATTTTCTGGTTTTTTTGCACTGCCTTTGTTTTTCCATCTATTACTGGGTCCAAAATGCATCAAAAAGCAGGCAATGCACCAGTTTCTTTTTTAACATCAGACATTCAAGTTAAGACCTAAAAGCAAAGGAACAAGCAAGGGCAGAAAGATGAAGAGAAAACACAAAAGGCGAGAAAAGGCAGTGGTGTTAGGCTTCTCTGGTTGAATTTCATTGGGAACGTTAATTGATTTCTCCTAGCCATAAATATATGCACCAAAGCTTGATCTCATGCCTGAGAATGGAAAGGGAAGAGAAGACTAAAGTAACTATGGTGCCAGAAATATGGAATCAAAAATTGAAAAGAATAAAGAGCAATGACTTTGACAATTTCCATGAATCATTAATATGAGAGACAAGTAGTACTAGAAGACAGATGTATAAAATTAGAGATTTTCCTGTTCCATTTCCTGGAGGCAAAGCATGCCTTTCAGCACCAAGGAGGGGACTTCTGCCGCCAGGGAGTTAATACCACATTCTTTCATTTGTCTATCTCAAATCACTGCATTTCACTTCTTAATTTTTTGCCTTATTCTAAGTGTTTAACATGTATGCGATAGGCACAGATTCCTATCAATGTTTATACACAAAATATTAAAATAAAAAGAAAGAAGGAAAGACGGCAGGAAAGGAGGAAGGAGCACCTTGCCAATTTGTGGAACAGAACAAACACAAAATATTGGCAGCAAAGCCCAGATAGAATTTCAGACTGGGGTGAACTGAAACATTTGTGAAGCAGATATGGAGAAGTGGTTGAGAAGAAAAGGAAAACAGATTAAGAAGACAGTGGTGGGTTGAATGCATTTAGAGGTCAACATAAGTGATGCTGAAAGACGGATTGTCTTCCTCCCTTAAGTCCCTTCCTCAAACTGTATAAATTAAAAATAGAAATATATATATTTTATTTTAAGTAAGAAAGGTCATCTCTGCATGTGCAACCACTAGATAGAAATTAAAGAGCCAGTATAGCTTATTTTTAATAGCAAAGCAAAACTTGTTATTCACTCTAAAAAATTATATCTTCTGGATGAAGCTTTGCGAAGAGACATCATATCTTGAAGTCACCTTGTTGTAAGCTGATTTCAAATCATTTGCGTTATATATTTCTTTTTACTCGCCATCTACTATTGAAGTAAAACAGGTGTCATGACTGTCCACAGTCAGGTGATGAGTTCTTCTGGCTCAAGATAAATTAGGTAGACCCATGCCACGTGTATCCGCACATGGTAAAGACTTCCTAGCTAGTATTTAGTTACCTAGTCATATGGTCTGTGCTTTTGAGTAACATAAAGGTCTTAAAACAGCACTTTTGAAGAATTGGAAAGTGTTCTTGCTGACTTAGAGATTTGTTGACAGTCTTCTAACATCAGCAATCTGTCAAGCATTCCCTCATTTACACAGAGTTCCTTGTCATGTAGCAATGAAGATAACATTTTACATGAAGTTCTGACGTGCCTAATCTCACTCTTGTAAACAAAGCTTCGTTAAGTTTTACTATCATTCTTTCCTGTTGCTGATGCTGATGTTTTTCTTTTAACTTGTTTTTCTCCCAAAGTTCTCTTTGGCTGGATGCTTATTTTAATGCTTTTTCTGGTTTGCCTTAAGAAGCTTTACCTCTTCAAACGTCCTGGCTCAGAAGTTAAATAGGAACTTTGCTCTTTATTCATTTTCATATAATGTCTCCATCATAGATTGACAAATTTGAAGAAATGTGAATGTCATTGTAAAAACATTTGCAGTATACTTCAAATGTGCTAAATAACTATTTCCCAATGAAATGTAGGATTTAAATATGATTTTCTTTTGTTGAATAAAAAGAATAACTCCAATACACTTAGAAGGTTGTTAAATGTGTTGGACATAGAACCACCTATGATTCTTTTGTATTTCTCCAGTTATATCTCTGTGGATAATTTCATATAGAGAGTATCACAGTGAGAAGAGAAACATTTCACAGATCTCAAAAATAATTTAGGGAGAGGTCCACTAACTTGGCCAAGAGCACTCAGCTATTTAGTGTTTCACCAGAATAAGACTTAAGACTAGGTGTTTCTACCTTTAAACTCTATATCCACCATATAAGGGAACCTTACACATGGCCACCCTTAAGCAATAAAATCAGACAGCTACCCACATGCTAAATAGAGGCCATGTGGTATATGGGGAGGAGGGGAGGCTCTGACCATAAAACCGTAATAACTGTGTTATCTTGGATGACATTGTAGTGTGGCAGCCTCAAATCTGAGAGGGCTTGTGCGTATGGTAGTTTACATACCAAAGAAGTCACCCACAGGTCCAGCAGGGAAAGATACTGGTTTATTAGAACATACAGGAGGCACCAATGGCAGCCAGTCAGTGAAGAAAGACTCTGCCCAGAAGGCATCCATAGCAGCCAGTTGGTGAAGAAAGAATCCCTACTGTGGGACAGTACAGAAAGCAGTTTTATAGTCAAGCAAGTTAATTATTCAACTGGCTACATGGTGGTTACAATCACAATGAGTAAGGGTATAGCCTTCATTGTTCTCAGCTCTGCCCAATTACCTGCACCTCCTGACTTATTACAGGGAATATGCAAATCCTGCAGAGACCAACCTTGGCCGGGGGCTGCTCCCTGGAGGAAGGGGTATAAAAAAGCCAGATATAGGGGGAAAGAGTCAATGTCCAGATTACCACACACTGACCTAACTTTTATGTTCCCCTAGGTAAAATAAATAAAATAGCATAGAATCTGCCTTTTGAGATTCTCATAAGGATTAAATAAACTAATACACATAAAGAACGGAGAATAGTGTGTAATAAGTATTTGTTCTTTTTTTTATTGCTATTATAATTAGTGCATGATAATCTTGAAATCAAGACAAAAAAGCACGGTAATGAATCAGCATTATGCGTGTGTGTGTGTGTGTGTGTGTGTGTGTGTGTGTGTATGACTAGAGAAAATTAATGAAGTGACTCACTGGTCAGGGAATCTTAGGGATGTTCTTTGGTTGGAGAAGTGGAAAAACACATTTCAGTTTCTGGATTTGCCTTATCTGTGTTCCAGCTTCTGTGGATTCCCCATGTCACTCCTGCTTGCCTGCTCATTCTCATATATGACATGAGATCCCAACTTGGTTTTGGCAGCTAGACTCCCAAATACCCAAGAGATATGAATCCATTTGACAGAAGCAAAGGGAAAAAAAAGAAGGAGATGAGGGCTGGGCACAGTGGCTCATGTCTATAATCCCAACACTTGGGGAAGACGAGGCGGGAGGATCTCTTGAGCCCCAGAGTTCGAGAGCAACATGGGCAACATAGCAAAAACTCATCTCTACAAATATTTTTTTAAAAATTAGCCACGTATTGTGGCAAACGCGTGTAGTCCCAGTTACTCAGGAAGTTGAGAGGAAAACCTAGCTTGAGTTCAGGAGGTTGAGACTGGTGAGTGGTGATCGTGCCACTACACTCTAGCCTGGATGACAAAGTGAGACTCGAACTCCATACATACATACATACATACATACATACATATATAAATTCATAACAAAATGTAAGATGGAGTCTTTTCCTTTAAAAAAAAAAAGAAGAGTATAAAGACTGGCTTAGTCCTTAATTATCCATTTGTTTTCTTTTTTCACCACTCCTTTGTTCTGTGAATCTTGAAAGTGTATTATTAGGCTGGGCTCCATGGCTCAGCCTATAATCCCAGCACTTTGGGAGGCTGAGGTGAGTGGTCTGCCTGGCCCGTGTGTTCGAGACCAGCACAGGCAACTTGGTGAGACATTGTCTCTACAATAAAGAAAAAGAATTAGCCGGGCGTGGTAGCACGCTCCTGTAGTTCCAGCTACTTGGAAGGCTGAGGCAGAAGGATCACTGGAGCCCAGCAGGTCAAGGCTGCGATGGCCATGAGTGTGCCACTGCATTCCAGTCTGGGTGACAGAGTGAGACTTCAACTAAAAAAAATGAAAATAAAAAATAAAACTTTGATCAGTCTAGGAGAAATATTTTATTTTGTCTACCTCCTTTACTTTATTAGGAGCCCTTGAGGGGGCAAATCTGGGTCATTTTTCTGTATTTCTGATCCCTAGTATGTTTTCTAGAACATTATAGGTGCTGAACAAATTCTTGTTGAGTGAATACAAGAATTCATGAAGTGCCACCTTGGTTATTGTTGGTTATTGTTCATGGAATTAGTGGAAAGAAGACACATGTTAGGCCCATGGGGAAGAGGGAAGTGGAGAGTGGAGAACAGGTTGCAAACAGAGTACCAAGGGAAAAACTCTGTTTCTCAAACACGTAGAGTAAGTGCTTTATTATTAAGTTCACTATCTAATTTCCTCTTAGCCCATCCAATTTCTTAGAGTTCTTCAACACAACGACGATTTTCACAATTAAGCATTACAAAATAATTCTGCTTCATCACACCACTGCCAGGCCTACCCTCCATCATTATAGATACTCCAGAGCACGTCATCTCTTGGAAATACTGGAGTATGTCCAAGAGTCTGAGGAGATGTCCAGCCTCATTCTTCACGTAGTCCCTTCTCCAGAGCATCATACTGCAGATATGTGGGTGCCTCAGGTTTTAACACCAGCTATAACGCTTCACATTTAGATCCACAAAATCTAAACACAGAGCAGTGGTCAGTCTTGGTTATTCTTTTAGGTAACTGTCTGCTGGACTTACCACGAAAGCAGATCCTGGGCCCTGAAGAACTCCCAGGACAGACCTACGATGCCACCCAGCAGTGCAACCTGACATTCGGGCCCGAGTACTCAGTGTGTCCTGGCATGGACGTCTGTGCTCGTCTGTGGTGTGCTGTGGTACGCCAGGGTCAGATGGTCTGTCTGACCAAGAAGCTGCCCGCCGTGGAGGGAACACCTTGTGGAAAGGGGAGGATCTGTCTACAGGGCAAGTGTGTAGACAAAACCAAGAAAAAATATTATTCAGTAAGTGATTTTTTTTATTATTTAATGCCTGGAGACCCAAGGTGTGAGGTTCATTCCTGTGATGTGTGTACATACTATGATCAGAAGGCTTTATTTCCTAGTTCAAATATTTTCACCTTGAAGATCTACTTACAGCTTCATCTTTTACCCATAGTAGCCGTTCTCAGTTATCAAATACTGGAGAAAATGCAGATATTAGGGGTTTCTCCACAGACTATATCCTTAAACAAATAATTACATAACCTAGATTCTGTCCAATTGAGACTCCAAGTAGAACCTCGAAAGTCACTTTTTGGAAGCTCACATTCAAACTTCTCTTGCTAAAATATCAGAATACATTTATTTAATTTCAGTAAGAAAATAACAGTAAAACAGACACATATAGTTCTTGTGCCTACTTGGTAAGCTCCAGAATGGTCCCCCGCCCCAAACCCGGATAGTAAGTTAAGCCAAACTTGGGAGCTAATGTAACCTGTGGCTGCTCCAGGGAAACACATCTGCCATCATATACACAGTCCAGCTTCAGATCAGCAGCTGCCCTCTTAATTTTCAAGGCCTGAGCAAAATATGTGCTCACCATCAGCCCACAGGATTTGCAAAGTACCTGGAAGAGTGTTGCTATATGCTCATTGCCTGTTTCTTTCCAGGCTGTCACCCAACCACGCAGCATCAGAAACTCTGACGCCGGTAGCCAAGGGCATTTCTTCGCACATTCCCTCAGCGAAGCAGAGAATCTCAGCTTCCTCCTGGAATGTTTCCAGAGAAATAGACTTAGCTTGTCACGAAAGGGCTGTTCCTTCACTTTGGGACATGTGTACATGTATGGTTTGAGTATGTTTCAGTATCTATCACATGTAATTAGAAGCTAAGTCAAGCCAGGTCCAATACATTTATGTATGTAGTAGAGAGTCTGTCACAGGATGTGAAACTGCAGAGTTGTAGAAAAAGAGAAGCAAACACAATTAAATAATGCCCAGTATCAGGCAAAACCTTACATTTCATTAACGATCCAACATTAGAGTGGACACAAAGTTAACATAATTCAGTGATTATCAACAGAGACATACCAAATCAGAAGATGTAATCTAAAATGACCCAAAGAAACCAGGAGACAGTCTTGGTGGTGTGCTCGGTACTTAGGGTTATGCTTTTAGATCCTCCAGTGTTGGTGGGGGAGGGGGTAAAAAAGATGATTGTTTAGAACTGGAAGTGTGTTGCTCATGTTAAATTCAGTGAACATTTAACTATATCTGTGATGAAGCTTCCACTGTCATTAAATGCAAGTGATTTCCAGGTGTACATCTTGAAAATTTTTTCTTCTATCTGAGTTGAAATGACTTTTATTTTCTATTTCAGACATCAAGTCATGGCAACTGGGGGTCTTGGGGATCCTGGGGCCAGTGTTCTCGCTCATGTGGGGGAGGAGTACAGTTTGCCTATCGCCACTGCAATAACCCCGCCCCCAGGAACAACGGCCGCTACTGCACGGGGAAGAGGGCCATCTACCGCTCCTGCAGTGTCACGCCCTGCCCACCCAATGGTACGCTGCTCCCAAGTGTCAACAACCACCATGTGCCACATATAGTTTGTATTCTCTCAGTAATAAGTAGGGGAGGCTAAAGAAATCACATCAATCTTGTACTGCACAGTTCCACCAATGTGCAGATCAGTAACAAATACATGCATGATTTTTAAATTATTATCAACAATAATTTGAGAGTATTCAGAGAACTAAAAAAGAATCCTCATTTTCAACTCTAACTATACATAAAATCCATTAACATGAACGTAAAGAGGCTGTGCAAAGAAAACAAAAGTTAGCGTCTTCTTAAAATAAATTATTTAAACACACATGAATGTATCTAAGTTTTAGAACAGATAAGGTAATAATTGTAACATGTTTGTTTCCTAGGAAAATCATTTCGTCACGAGCAGTGCGAGGCTAAAAATGGCTATCAGTCGGATGCAAAAGGAGTCAAAACCTTTGTGGAATGGGTTCCCAAATACGCAGGTGTCCTGCCGGGGGATGTGTGCAAGCTGACCTGCAGGGCCAAGGGCACTGGCTACTATGTGGTCTTTTCTCCAAAGGTAACTACACACCAACTGTTCAGAAACAATGGGCATCCTTAGTGGAAACTGTTTGGTAGAATGAAGCCTGTTGGTGCCAAATGTAAACAGTCATTATTTTGAAGTGGTTAGATTTTGGGGGGGGTTTATTTTCATCTCTATAATTTCTATATTTGCAAACTTCACACAATAAATAAAAATTATCTTATAAACAGAACAAACAAATGTTTTAAAGGCTATTTTTGAAAAAAGGTAACTTGCCCTCACAGAAGATAAAGCGTGACCTTAACTTTAAAACAGCATTAAAGCATCGAGTATTTCCTAAGCACAATTTAAAAGGGAACAGTAATGAGAGAAAACGTTCTGTTTTTCTGTCATTTTGATGAATCATAAAGATGTGTTTCAAGATCGTTGTCTCTGACCCAGCCTTTTGAATGTTTCACAGTCTTAATATGAATCAATGTCCCTCTAGTTATACAAATTATAATATCTGTGTGTGATATCCTTTATTTTTCACAGGTGAGCATTTTCTAAAGAGACAGCAGGTTTGTTTGTTTTTCTTACAATTGGTGTTAGGCAGTGGTTTACAAATACTGTTTGTCTCATTTGCAAACAGGTGCTACATTTAAAACCACTTCTAAAACTTGGCCCTCAGATAGTTATAACATGTTATTCAAAAATGTAAGCTAATGTCTAACTTATGTAATTTTTGAAATATCATGGATTTTTATTTCAAAAATATATTTTTATTTAAAACTAATACAGAGAAACAAAAACATAAACATCACCTGAAAATGTTACCATCTGAAGAGCCACTGTTTCCTACTTCAGTTTACATACACACATTCACATACATACATGGAAAGAGTTTTCTATATACACAAGTGCAAAATATGTCAGTTTGTATATATGTGAGCATATAGATGTTTGTATATATGTGAGCACATAGATGTTATGTTTACTCACATGCATAAGCCACAATCTCTATGCATACTATTGTATAACTAGTTTTGTAACTATACACTAATTCCTTCATTCAAAATATATTCAATTCCTTCTAGTAAATACATTCCTCTAACTTCCCTAGACTAATTTCCCACACTAATCTCTATTTTGGTGTCTGACAGTTCAACACACAATGGGGCAGGCTCTTCAACCATAACATGGTTTTGAATGTCAAGTTTAGATTTTCAATTTTGTTATTATACTAACAATTATGCCACAAAGAAGTATCTTTGCATCCCCAAGCCTGCTCATATTCACAAGTGATAGTCCCAAGCCCTAAGTAGGAATGATTGCTTTTATCAATGTAAAAAGACAAGACGATACTGTGGGAAGGTAGCACATTCAGAATGAAACTTAAGAGAGACAGTATGTAACCTAAACTTATCCCAGATCTGCTTTCTGCCACTATGCTAAGGACTTTTCAGTTAGATATTCCTGGAAGATATTCTTGTAGGAAGAGAGGAGGCTATTTAATTTTCAGTATAGTCTCCATTCCAGTCAACTTCAAAAAATCACAAACGAGAACTTACTAGTTTACTAAACAAACCAATTACCTATATAGAGGTATGTTCTGCTGCTAATGTGTTTGTCACGATTCAGGTGACTGATGGAACTGAGTGTAGGCCGTCCAGTAATTCCGTCTGCGTCCGGGGGAAGTGTGTGCGAACTGGCTGTGATGGCATCATCGGCTCAAAGCTGCAGTACGACAAGTGTGGAGTATGTGGAGGAGACAACTCCAGCTGTACAAAGATTGTTGGAACCTTCAATAAAAAAAGGTAATAGGATAGAACCCTTGCCTTTATATGAATTGAACAAAGCCGTAAGCTCCTGCAAAACTGATACAGGGGAACTCATGTTACATCAACAGCTATCTGTAGGAGGAGGCCTAACGTGGGTCTAGTAGCACATTATGAATATGAGAAGGCAAGGAGAGAAGATGAATAAGGCTCTGGTTGCTAAGAGGAAGCTCATGGCGCCTCTGAAAGCAGATAAACTGCGATGGCTATAGGGGTCAAGTTCTTGCAGAGTCAGAAAACTGAAAAGAAAAAATGAGTGACATTCCACTTCAGTGACACCTTGCAGGTCTATTATTCCTGAAACATAATTTAGGAAAGGGTGGCTCGTTTCTCTCTTAACTATATATTTTAAAACGAATTCTCAATCAACTGCTTTTGTTATTGTTTTGAGAAAACATTTCTTTTTGCAAAATGTAAGTTCTTTGCAATGGTGTGTACAACAATCCTGTTTTATAGTGAACTATTCTGGTTTGTATCTATTCTTTAGATAAATTTATACAACGATATCTGTCTTGGTCTCCTATTGCAATCCTAGATTACCCTTTTACTTTAAATATGTTAATTAATGAAGTACCAATGTTTGGCATAAAATTTTATGCTAGCAGATGAGATGGCTGAGTGGGTTAAAGAATCTGAGAGAATACAGGATTGTTTTTCTTCTCCAAACCACTCTTATGCTGAGGGGTATTGGCTGAGTATGCCTGAATTCTATTGTAGGGGCTGTATAATCTTTAACTTTAGAGTAATATGCCAGCCAAATTAGCAATAAAATTTATTCAAAAGATTAATGTAATGTAAAAAACTGGAAATGATCTCAATATAATTGAGATTATATGGCTGAAGAATTTATTCTTCACAGCTGTATCAATTGTTATCACCATGTATTTTATGGTGAGCGTGGTGATGCATGACAGTGTGCTTGAACATGAATCAATGTATTTCTTCATGACTTGTACTTTTCTTGACCCTATGCGAATAGGATTGAGAAAGACAAGATTTCCTTGACCTGCCAGCCATGCTTTATAATAGTTATATGAAGACAACTGCATTCATGTATAGTAGTTGGGAAAGTTGATTAGTGTCCAGAATTTAAGTGATGATACCAAGCAAGGTATAAAGAAAATGAATAAAAAATATACAGAGTATTATCTTTTACTAAGGCACTAAGAAATCAGGGTAGTAATACTCAGACCTACCAATGCCTTGTGAAACTCAGTTTGAAGACCCATGGCAATTTTTATCATAACCATTGATTTGTATCAAATGAGACAGGCTTTCAGGAACAAGGATAAACACACAAAAAAAACTATCCTGCATGATTTTCTTATCCTTTCTTCTTTATTTTTCTTACACCTTACTTGGTATCATTTAAAATATGGACGTAAGCAGGACTTGTTTTCATTTAACTGTTACAAAATATGGCTGGCAGAAGTAAGGATTTCGTGCATGGAGACTTAGTGAAAAGGGCACAAATTGGGATTCAAGAGTCTGGATCTTAAGCCCAGCATTGCCACTAATTAGCTCTGGGGTGGACTTGTGCAAATACTCTCATATAGTCCGACTTTATACTCGTTCTGTGTAAGATGAGATATTGTCTCCAATATCCTTCCTGACTGTGTAAGGTCAACATAGGTTCTCATATTACCTGTCAATATTAAATACTACAAAAAAGTCCTATAACAAAGTCTGAGCCATAATGTATTGCAAAAACAAAAATAATGAATCAAGTTAGATGGAATAAGCAGCACCTTCAGCATGCATCATCTCTTTAGTACTGTAGGAAGCTTTGACATCTATCTGGCAGCCACTGTAGTCAGATGCCTGGTAGACAGGGGGCTTCTCTGAGATTGACCTTCATCAGTTCAAAGGAAACACTGGAGTAGGAGAAACATACTTGAATTTTCAGTTGTGTTGACCAAAAAAAAAAAAAAAAGCCAAACTCTATACAATATTTTAAGATGGTTTATTCTGAACCAAACTTGGGGACTTAAGCTTGGGAACATCCATTCTCAGGAGGACCTGAGAACTTGTGCTCACTGTGGTTGAATGGTGGTTTGGTTATATACATTTTAGGAAGGCAGAAGTTACAAGAAACCATGAATCAATACATATAATTTTTCATTGGTTTGTCATAGGAAGGAGGGACATTTCAAAGGGGGAAGGAAGATTTGCTACTGTCAAAGATGAACTCAAAGATTTCTTGACTGGTAATTTGTTGTTCCTGTCTAAGGAATTTGGGAGATCAGTAGAGGAGATGGTTTATTAAGATCAGGGACTTGAAAACTGTTGATATGTAGATAAAGTCTTATATGCGGCAGACTCCAGAGAGGATAAATAAATTTCTTACAAGGTTCCCAGGAATCTGGGAGTTCCCAAGAAACAGCTTTGCAGGGCCATAAAATACTTTGGTTTCCATCTTTATTTGTTATCTGATGTTATGCCAGAGTCAGCTTGGAAAACAAACTTTAGGACATAAGGTAATAAAACCCTGTCTGATGAGTCCTTATTGGTTGGGTATGACTTCCCAAGCCTCTTAGTTAGGAAATTGGATAAAATAAAAAAGGTCATATGTAAATCTTAAGTGTATGAGTCAGTTACCTCACAGCCACCAATCTTGAGTGAGAATGGGAAATTATTTCACATACATCAAACTGTACAAGCAACAATATTTCTATTTCAAGATTTCTATTTAAATAACTAGAAAAGTAAAGCATATGGGGACCTTACTATGAAATTATTTGTAAAGATGTGGGCAAAAGATTATTCCTTCTCTTATTCACTTATCTCTTGGTGCTTAATTAGCATTTATGTCCTAGCATTTGCCACGGGTTTGTGGGTATCAAAGACATTTATGCTTTTGACCATTCTGAGCAGAGGATGGATCTTTAGAGACTTATCATACTTATCACTCACCATAAAGCCTTACTTAGTCCATCATAATATCTCACAGACACTAAGCATTCAGAAAAATTTGCTAAGATATTAAAAAGTTGTTTTCCCATTGGGATGGTATTAAGATACTATTACCTAATTACAAAATTTCATTTTCCACTTAGTGGCTTGCCACACGAAATCCAGAGTTCTAGTAGAAATGGAAGCAGAGACTCTATCTGTCTATAATCGAAAAAATAATTAAATCCATGCTCCCAAACTAGTCTGCACATTGAAACAATGTGAGGAGTTCCAAAAGTACTGTCTCTGTGCCCCATTCTGGAAGATGAAGATTTAATTAGTATGGTGTGTGTTGTAGGCTCTGAAATATTTAAAAGATCCTCAGGTGATTCTAAAGTGCTAACAAGTTCAAGAAACATTAAAGATTTCTATGAGATTAATTGAAGACAGAATTTTGTCAGTTTGTGTTTAAATATATCCCACATTGTGCCAGAAAGAATGGAAAGTAGCTTTTTTTGTAAAGATAGTAGGATTTGATAAGGGTAAAAATGGTTATATAAATCTTTATAAAGTTGGTATAGATTCTAAAAATAAAAGCAGGTTGTTAGCCTAACTTCCAATTCATGCAATACTATAGTCTAAGTGCAATTTTGTTATAAGAAAATTAATTTTTAAAGCCAATTTTAAACTAATTTTAAATACATTATGACTTTGTGTTCGGATAAGGAAAGACTTTTAGAGAATTTCTATTTGTTTATCCATTTGTCAAGTATTTACTTATTTTCTCTTCTTGTCTCATCATTCTCTTCACTCCCTCTCCCTCTCGCCCCTGTGGACATTCCTGCCTGCAGTAAGGGTTACACTGATGTTGTGAGGATCCCTGAAGGGGCAACTCATATAAAAGTCCGACAGTTCAAAGTCAAAGACCAGACTAGATTCACCGCTTACTTAGCCCTGAAAAAGAAAAATGGTGAGTACCTTATCAATGGAAAGTACATGATCTCCACTTCAGAGACCATCATTGACATCAATGGAACAGTCATGAACTACAGCGGCTGGAGCCACAGGGATGACTTCTTGCATGGTATGGGCTACTCTGCCACGAAGGAAATTTTAATTGTGCAAATACTTGCAACAGACCCCACCAAAGCATTAGATGTCCGTTACAGTTTTTTTGTTCCCAAGAAGTCCGCTCAAAAAGTAAACTCTGTCACTAGCCATGGCAGCAACAAAGTGGGATCACACACTTCGCAGCTGCAGTGGGTGACAGGCCCATGGCTTGCCTGCTCTAGAACCTGTGACACAGGCTGGCACACCAGGACGGTACAGTGCCAGGATGGAAACCGGAAGTTAGCAAAGGGGTGTCCTCTCTCCCAAAGGCCTTCGGCATTTAAGCAATGTTTGTTAAAGAAATGTTAGCCTGTGGTTTTGATCTTATGCACAAAGATAACTGGAGGATTCAGCACTGATACAGTCGTGTTGAACAAGAGGTCTACCTAATGCACAGAAAGTCATGCTTCAGTGGCAATGTCAGCAGGAGTCGAATTATGGGCAGAATCTGCTCTCTGCGACCAAAAGAGGATGTCCACTGCTTCATACGACAGTGATGACCTTGGAATATAGAAAAACGTGGGAGTTCTTAAATATCCCCTGGGTCTACAAAAGAAAGAAGGAAACACTGATGAATGTAGAATCAGGGGACTTTTGAAGATGGCAGAACAGTCTCCCCCTTGTCACCTACCTCTTACAGAATGTCTTTAAAGGCAACATAATCATTTTCACCCATGATATACAGTAGCTTATTTTTACTGTTTGTAAATACATTCTCCCTTGGTATGTCACTTTATATCCCTTGGTTCTATTAAAATATGCATATATATTTCTATAAAAATGTGTTTGACCAAAGTAGGTCTACAGCTATTTTAACTCCCTTCAGTTTCCAGAAAGAGCTGTGGATGTTTTACTGGAAATTAAGAACTTGCTGCTGTTTTAATGAGATTTAGTATATTTTCTGACTACAGGAGATTAAAATTTTAGTCAAAAACCATTCTGACAGCAAGCATCTTCAGAGAAATTCTGAAAAGAAAAAGGATCTCAGTGTAACTAGTCATTTAAATACACGGGTTCACTTACTTAAACCTTTGACTGCCTGTATTTTATTCAGGTAGCCAGCCAAACTAATCCATAATTTAGGATATAGAGGTAAGGTTTGCGTGTGTGTTTGTGATCAGTATTCAAGAGTCTAAAACCTAGTTTTCTTGTGTTGGAGTTTTTAAAAAAAAAATACATTTCACTGTGTTTTCAATTTATATTTTCACAACTACTTTCTCTTTCTATGGATGTTATCTAATATCTCACAATGTGTAATATGCGTACAAAACACACAGCAAAGAATTTTCTATCATGTTCCACTTCTTCAACACTGGTATACCTCTTACCAGCAAGCCTTTAAAATGTGTTTGCGTTTGCTTGTTTGTTTTGTTTTGTTCAAGGGTTCCATAAGACCTACAGTGTTTTGTTGCTTCTTGTTGACTTAGTTTAATAGGAATATTAAAGATCACTTGGTAGGTAGCCACATCCAGAAGTGGTTATCATCATTAATGTGGTTAATACAAAAAAAAAGTGGTTAATATTAATAAGACTGTTTCCACACCATAGGCAATCATTCTTTCATTTAAGAAAAAAAAAATCTACTGTGCTGAAGACGTTTTTCCCAACTGGAAAGCATTTGGTTGTACCAGTAAATGTTTGAGTGACAAAATGTGATGATTTTCAGAAAATTGTTGCTATTACTTCCATAGACTGTTTAGGTAGGTTGTACATTTGACTAGTTAGACATTGAAAAATTTTTACAGCTATACACCTAAAAATCTCTTTTTAGATGTTAAACTGCCTTTTTCCCAACCCCGTAGCTCAGAAAAATCTAAGGTGTTTCATTTCACTGGAATTTCTTTTTCTTTGTGAAATACCACAAAGCTAATTGTTTTTTATAAAATTTTATATTAATTATACCAAATGTGCCTATTAAAGATTCCACATATAAGGATGTTAAAGAACAGCTGTTTGAGTTCCATTAAGCTCAGAAGAGTTTATTTTTATTGTAAGATATTTTAATATAAAATAATTCTGTCATCGATTTCAATGTATCATATTCATTTTAGTAAGCCAGGAAAATGAATGTCTCACTGTTTTAAGGATTTTCTTAGAAAATCATTTTAAAAGCAAATTATTGTTTTTCAAAACCAAAAATTATTTTTTGGATTTTTATAGACTGGCTTTCCTTTAGACGTGATAACTTTTTCAAAAACTAAATTAACAGCTCAAGAAATGAAGCCTATATCAGAAGGAGATCACTAGGTACTAAGGCAGGAAGCAAAGCTAGTCAAATTGTCTGAAAAAAATAAATAAAAATCACACTGACCATTTCACTGTGCAAAGAACTAATAGAGAGGCCAATGTTATCTTCTCTAATTTTGAAAATAATTTTAATTCAATAACTCAAATGTGATGAAATTTCTTTTTTTGTTATATTCCCAACATTAAAAAATAATTGAATAGCGAACATTGTTGTCTCCTACTGTGCTTCTCTATACTATACTCACAGATTTTTCATATAATTTATCAACGATTCCTTTTCTTCCCAAATAATGACATTTTATACTTCTCACTGAAACAATTTTAGAGAACTGAGCACCAATAAACCACTATTCTGTGCATTTAAGGAGTTTCCTCTACTTTTTTACTTATGAGTATCTCTAGATCGACTGAGGAATGTATGTCTAAACTCCCGAGAAAAAAATGATACAGACTAGAAACTGAAATTCAGAGAAACGGAGTATTCAGCAGATACAACAAATGATGAGCAAAGGGAAAATCCTAATCTAATTCAGTCTATTTTGACTTTGTACTATGTTTTTCACCTTTCTAAGTTGTATCTTGATTTTTTTTTTTTTCTAAGTCTCAGATGCAGGATGCTAGGGGCTACTTCTTAAAAAATAAAAAAGAAGAAGAATTTGTCTGAAAATGCTCAGGTTTGTAAGAATTTAATCTCACCTATATAACTAAGTACCCCAGAATAGGCAGCATTAACTAGAAGAGGAACCCAGAAGAAAATACCATTTATTTCTTCTAGAACAGAAAAAGTTTAAATTCGACCCTGCCTCGTTGCTTAGAGATAGTAACGGCATTGCTATAATTTATTCAACAAATTCAACTTCCTTTGCCTTCCTGTGGAAACAGTTTTATCCCATTAAACTAAGAACTAAGGGATGAATTACAAACAAACAAAAAGTTGCAGCACTGAAAAAAGTAATTTATTGTTTTTGCAACTTGTATGTGAATTTGTGTGATAAAATTATTTATTCTTATTTAACAAAAATATGTGCAAATTCTTCTATATTTAATATGTTTTGCTGTTGTCCTACTTTTTAATTTATGCTTCATGTTTGTGTATAAAGTACACTTTGTGAGTTTACATAATATACAGCACTGGTTACTTTTGTATTTTTTTACAGAAAGCTTTCTGCATGAAACAGGAATATATGTAAATATTTTTTGTGTATTCTTATCCTGATACTATCACTTTTTTCTAAGGAAGTTTTAAATTTAGTCTTTCATGACTTTCAGCATTGTTCATTACTTGCAGCTATATTAATAGGTCTTTTACATCCCATTAAGACTATTTTTTTTAAGTCACAGATAAGAAACCCTCATTTAATCAAAAAAAAGTGCAGGGTTTAACTTTGGGTACAGATAGCCTAGCTTTCCATAGATGCTAATACACAGTCAAGAATTGGGTCCATTCACTTCACTGATAAACTTGGACAAGTTGCTGTTGATGTATTAGATTAAAGTTGTATATACACAACCTCTGAGGGACATACATGATGATAAAACCATATATTGTCTTTTGCTGCTTTAGAAACACCCTCTAAAATTAATATAATTTCATCTCCAGTGTCTGTAGGGTTCTACAGACAAGCGCAAACAATTTGGATTTGTATAATTCAGATGGTAGTAGTCATAATTGTTTCTACACATATAGAGTGTTCGTTAATAGAATGTGACTTTTTCCAACTATCATCATGTCATGTCCCCTGGAGTGTTGATAGGAGCTGGCATAGGCAGAGTCACCTCTGATGACGCCAACTTCCCCCTATGATTTCACAGTCTGATCCCAGCAATAAAGCAAAGTACTCTTGACCTGACAGCACAGTTGACTGGGTTAATCTCTGGTTCTGATGTTTCCCCACTGACTCTTTCTTTGTTAACAAGATCATTGTAAAGGTTAAAATAAGGACAGCAGTCAGATTTGAAGTTCAGGATTTGTGCTATGACTTAGAGCTCACTCTTTGTAAAAATAGTGCTGATTTTAATAATGATCAAATTTTGCTAGTATTTGATGGCTAAGTGTGAAATCTCATCAGTGTGATTAGTAGTTTTACCCATCTTTTTATAATTCAACTTGAGACCATACAAATACCTTCTATTTTTGAATATTTCAAAGCTGCAAGATAAATGAAATGACTATGAGAACAGAAATAATCATATTAAGCTATAATAGAACCAAATTCAGGGTGCTTTATCATTTAAACACACAGAAAAGAAACTTGTCTGTTTATCATTTTTCTCATTTTCCAACAGCCTATAGTTTTAGCTTATCAAACAGGTAGGACAACTTAATTGACTGGTACACTGAAAAAAAAACTTCCTAATAGCCCTCTGATAGCATGAACTGCGAAAATGATTTATCAAGTGGTATTATCATGAAACACATCACTCTATAATGCATAATTGTGTTCTGTTTAATTAACACATGGGAACATATTGAAACACAAAATCATGCATTAGTCAGTCAAGAAATAAGAATACAGATGGTGTTGAGATCAGCAAAGCATTCAATCTGGCAATTGCCTGTCTGGTGCCATGATGTAATTCTCAATGCAGGTTTTGTGAGAAAAGTAAAGGAATATGTTGTTAGAAGATGTTGGTTTTGAAAGAAAATAAGACTTCACATATACATTAGCAACAATTTTGCTGTCACTGGTTCTTATTTTGTGGCTCTACTAATTAACTAGTCCAGGTGGACTGCATAGGTCAAATGAAAAAAAATGTACCATCATCCTATAAGGCACTGTCACATGAGAATGTCCCAAAGTCTAACACTGTAAGGAAAACTGTGATTTGAAAAATAAAAAACAGGGCATGTTTTGTTTTTTTATTATTTTTGTTTTTTCTTTGGCATATCCAAGGAATAATGGAAATTGTTATTAAGGTGCTAACATCTTCAGTGACCAACTGTCAAATGTGGTATTTCTGAGTTACTACTTTTTTTACATGATTTTACAATTTGCAAGAAAGACCTCTATGCTTCTTATCAAGGTAGGGCACAATTTGTTACTCAAAGTTTGGGAAATAAGCACATCCAATGGTCATTCTGACCAACAGCAGTCAACGACATTATGGATAGATGCATCTTAAGACGTTTTAAGTGTCATCAAAATTTAAAGAGCTTCAGGCTGGAGTACCAGACTTTTAGATGAGTCATGTTTCTGCATTTACTAAGTACTCAGCATCCCATTTAAATTTGGGAGTATATTTGACCTGATTTTTTCCACGCTTTGCAATATTTTATGTCCATAGTAAACATTCGGTGACTATATCTCAGCCTTTACTTTAACAATTCACAATCTATTAGAAACATTTCTACCTATACTAAAAGTATATTTAGAATAGATCATACTGTGTGTAACTTTGTGAAGCTAGACTTTTGATTAAGAAATATATAGTCTCTGAATGGTTTTTTGCATTATATAGTCAGGCATGACATAAACATTGTTGGTTTGTCTTGCAAAAATTGGGAGTTGACAAACACTGCTTACATTTTTGTATGACCTATTGGAATCATACACATGCTTTGTAAATAAACTTTGTAGATAACTAAATATATTGAAGAAATACATTGCATGTGATATAAACAGTGGCACAAGTATTTGATTTCTATATTAGAACCTGTAAGAAAGCCAAGAAACACATCTATGTAGGTATAACTGAGATTTTTAAATCTTGAAACATGCTTTCATGGTAGAAAAAAACATTGAAGATTTATATGTTGTATATTAGATATAAAATGTAAGCTGCTCATTACCCGTAATTTTCCAGAAGCGATGGTATACAATGCAATTTTAAAACCAAAAAGCTGGGAAAACTAAGACGGGTCTTGTTTAAAATGTCTCACTTTGGGCACACTTCAAATCTGAATCAACTACTTAAAGCACTACTGTGTCTTGTAGCCTGCATTCCACAACAGCTCTGTTATTCAGGTAAACCACTTGAACTGAGCCGTTTGGGACCTGTACTGTAATATTTTTCATTGAGAAACAATATCCTATTTTGTAAAGCATTTCCCTATGTGTGACTTTAAATTGTAAAATTAAACATTGCTTTTGTGGTTTCAGTGGGCATAATAAATATAAATTGTAAACTAGGTTAAATATGTTTATATGTACATATAATGTTTTAGAGTTGGAAACTATTGTCCATTTATTTGTAATTTTCTCAGAACAGTGGTAGCAACAAGTCAGGCCTCAAGGAACCCATAGACTTTTCATAATTTCTACCATTCCTCATCCACTTTGGTGTAGACAATTAATACTTTTTCTTAGTTAAAGTACAATGGAAATACTCTTTCAAATTCTTTTTACCCAGATTATCATCCCCTAAAGGCTGTGTAGCATTGAAATTCTGGTGCTAAATTAGAAACAGCAAACAACATAAGCTACTGCTTCATTTTTATTTTTATTTATAAGCTTATTCCAGATATAAAATTAAGGAGTTATGATAATAATACAAGAACAAGCCGAGCTCGGTGGCTCAGCCTGTAATCTCGCACTTTGGGAGGCTGAGGTGAGTGGATTGCCTGAGCCCGCGGTTGGAGACCCGCCTGGGCAGGCAAGACCTCATCTCTACAATAAATCAAAAAAAGTAACGCACGCCTGTAGTTCCAGCTACTTGGAAGACTGAGGCGGAAGGATCGCGGGAGCCCAGCAGGTAGAGGCTGCAGTGGCCGGGAGCGGCCACTGCACTCCAGTCTGGGCGACAGAGTGAGATTCCAACTCAAAAAAAAAAAAAAAAATACAAGAACAGAAATCATAAATACCTGAAATTCACCATAATGAATTCTACTTATTTACTAACAAATTTATAGCATTACATTTCCTAAGGGCATTAATTCCTTTTAAATCTGAAATCATTACTGTTTAGAGTACATTTCAAACATTGAATTTCCCTCATATCAGATAGTATTTTAGAGTTGTGTACTTTACATTTTCTCTTTAGAAAGATATATACTTTTTAAAGAAATGATTGTAAAACTGATTTTCTTAATGGTGTATAAATGTAGCCATCTTAATATGGCTAAAGTTTGTTGAGCATTTTTTTGGTTCCGGCCCTGTGGTAAACCCCACAAACTTTTTACCACGAATTTCTCTCCATAACATTTGATCCTTGTGAGACTGGTCTTAGGATTCTATATCACAGATAACAGTCACAATATAAACACTACTAATTGTTATCTAGCTTTCACCAAGTGCCAGTCACTGCTGTAAGCACCTTCAATATTGTTATCAACTACTGGCTTCTTTAAGCTCTGAGAGTCTTAAATCCTTTTGGCCTGTGAATTTGAAGGAGGGCTTGCAGGGTAGATGAAGAACTGTGTGAGATTAGAGAAATGGGGGAAAGTGTTTAGATGCCCTAATGTGTGAGCTCCCTGAGTAAAAGCAAGAGCAATCCTAAAATTCCAGAGAAAATAACAAGGGAACTATGGAGAATCAGGCAGGATAGAGTCAGGAGCTTGGAATAATATAAAGGGCTGTTGTTTAAGGAGAGAGGAGAGAGAATTTGATTAGAAAACTAGTAAACTGCTGGTAACGGTTAAAAAAAACTTCGGTATTTAACTTACAACCTTTTTCACAGCTAATAATGAGCTGTG